ATATTCATCTTTTACTCTTGATGGATATTTTTCAATGAATGAATTATTTCCTAAATTAATAAAAAGAGTTTCTTCTGAATCAGGAGTTTCATGATTATCAGTACTATGAGAATTAGTTTGTGAAAAATTTAGATCGTTATTGGGTGAGTCAAGTATTGTTTGTATTTCGTCTTGATTATTCTCATTCCGATCATTATTAGAAAGTAAATGTTGTGATTCACCTTCCTCTTTGTTTGACATTTTTTTTAAAGAGATTCTTACAATCTTCCAAAACATTTCCATTTCATATTTTGAAATTGATTTCACACCACCTAATAATATATTTAATTGAATAAAAATTATATTAATTTAATAAAAAAAATGAGTAAACCAAGTAGTGATAATAATAATTTCATCACATTCAGAGCAGCAACGGAACAAGATGGACCACAAATTCTAGAAATGGTCACTCAAATTCTTACTAAATATGGTCTTAAACAAATTCAAGATCCTTCCGATAATATTGATGATGATTTATTAAATATTGAAAAGTATTACTTTACAAATAATGGTTATTTAGAAATAGTTGAATTAAATTCCAATTCTTCATCCATTGAATCAAAAATTATTGCCAGTTGTGGAATTTATAAATTATCCGAAAGTAAATGTGAATTGAGAAAAATGTATTTGAGAGAGGAATATAGAGGAAAGGGATTAGGTAGAAAATTATTGGAAAGAGCCATAGAAAAAGCTAAGGAAATGAATTATAAACAAATGGAATTGGAAACTGCTTCTGTTTTAGTGGAGGCACTTGCATTGTATGAAAAATTTGGATTTTCAAGAGTTATTGATTGTGAGGATAAACATTTATGTTCAAGATGTGATATTATTATGATTAAAGATTTAGTTTAATGAAAAATATTACCCATCAGCAAAAAATTTCATGGCTCGCCACGTTACCGTCTCGGGAGGAATCGAACCTCCGTCAATGGATTCAAAGTCCACTATGCTACCATTACACCACGAGACGAGCACATTCATTATAAAAGTATTTCACATTTCCCTACCTCGTTCAATTAAGCTTGTATCATTTTAGTCATCTATATTGTTTGCTTCTAAAATTATACTAAATTCTTGGAATACATGATAAACAAGTTATGATTCAAATAATTTCAAACTAGGAAAATGATTGTTGGGTCCAATTAAAATAATAAAAATTAATGGCGTTTCATTTTAGGTATTATATTTCAAAATATTATTGTGATTGAGCTCCACACCAACTTCCAATCAATCCACTAGCAACAGTATATGCAATCAGAGAAATCCATTCTCCAAACTCATCATCCGAAGTAAACATCATCATACCCAAACTATTCAATGTAATTGCACATGTACATCCCAATCCAGTTGGCCATCCGATTCCCCATTCCCATTGATAGGCAGCACTAAAGAAAAAACCCAAAGATACACTCGTCACTGGACAAATTAGTAATGGAGATTGTTTGAAATATTTACATGCTAATAGGAATGTTGGTGCTGATAAAACAAACCCACAAATTAAACCAAAAAGAAATACATCACTAGACTTGGCGCGAGACATTTTTTATAGTGGACAACAAGATTGACTTTCTAATTCTTGTTTTAATCTTTCTATCTAAACAAAATTTCAGACGCAGACTGCAGGATTCGAACCTACGAAGGTTTCCCCAACAGATTTCAAGTCTGTCGCCTTAACCACTCGGCCAAGTCTGCTACGAGTGTTGCCGTAAACATCCAAAAATTGTGCAAACTGGAGAAGAATAGTGTTATGAGCCTTTGAATACATTTAGAAGTTATTGTTGCTTGTTATTAAAAAATATAATGATGTGAATTGATTGGTTAGAGTACGAATAAGTTCCAATTGTTACATTTTCAAGAATTTAGAAGAATGCTTTTTCTTCCTAATCTGAAGATTTTTTATTAGTTTCGGTAGTATACTAAAATTTTCATCACACACAAAAAGAATGCCTCCAAGAACAAGATCTGCATCTGGAAAAAGG